AGCTAATGCACTGATACTTAGTGCATAGTATAGTGTAAGTATATTATATATATATATATATATACACACACACACACACACGCTTCGTAGTACTACTTAACTGCTTATATGGCATGTTAGAGTATATTTTAGTCTATTCATCCCTTGTATTACAATAGTATTAACGGCTTATATTTATATTATTTATATAGTAAATACAAAAGTGATTTTTAATTTTGACCATTGTTGACTTTAAAAGAGACAAACTTTGGTCGCTAATTATACATAAATTTACACGAGCGACCAAAGTTGGTCGCTAAATTTAACTCAGATTTATTTATATTTTATATAATATTTAAAATAATAATAATATAATTGGTAAACGTTAGAACTGGGTCCCAGATTAGCGACCAAAGTTGGTCTCCATTTCTTTTAACGACCAACTTTGATCGCTAACTTTGAATTATATTTATTTATATTTTATAATTTTTTTTATATAAATATATAATTATTAAAATTTTATAATTGGGTCCCATTTTAGCGACCAAAGTTGGTCGCTAACTTCTTACCCTTTATTTAGCGACCAACGTTGGTCGCTAATTTTAAATTATATATATTTATATTTTATAATTTTTTAAAAATAATAATATAATTATTAAAATTTTATAGGTGGGTCCCATTTTAGCGACCATCTTTGGTCGCTAATCTCAGTTTACCTTTGACCAAGCAAGTCTGACCAGTCCGGTCAATATTTTGACGAAATTAGCGACCAAGTAGCGAGCAACCTTGGTCGCTAATGTATTTCAAATATTTATTTTATTATTTTCGCTAATGTAGCGACCAACTTTGGTCGCTTTTTGTGACAGACCAACTTTGGTCGCTTTTTTCGAGAATTCTAGTAGTGTTTAACATAAGTACTTCATTTGGATATTCATTTTTGTAAGAAGTGGAAACGTCTCAACTTATACGCTCAAAACCGAAAATCTTAAATATCGAAACCGAGCTTAAAAAATCCGATCCAATCTGAGCTTATTTGGGTTGGATTTGAATTGTCATTTTCTCATTCCGAAAATCAAAAATCCAAACCGAATATTTTATCTCTAATTCGAACTACCTGAACGTCCACCCCAACCTTTTCCTTTTTTTTCTTTTTTCTTTTGAATTACTCAAATACCAGTTCGTTACATTTGACGCTAGATACATAAACTAATGTAGAACAAGCCCTTGTGATATATGGAGGAATGTACGTTATGTATCCTTTCAATTGCCTTTTTCTGTGTTGTGGCATCTTCATTGAAGTAAAGTCTACTGACATTGCAATAACTTCTGCTGAAGATCTTTTAACAACTGGTACTATTCATATATCAATGACTAATATATGAATAGGTGAGCCTTCAATTTCCATAGTAATGGCTTGGAATGTTATGCTAGTACAAGTCTTAGAACGTTTCATCCAACAAAAGTGATCGTTATTAAAAAAAAGAAAAATTACAAAGAGAATAGAGAAGAAAAAGAAAACAAAATGCCCACATATTCTAACCATTGGTTCATATCAATCTTATCGGTGGCACTCTCTATAGTCGTCCTCAAAAGTAGTGCTACATATGCCTAAATTTTATTTTGTAGTGCATTTTTGTATACTATTTGTGATGATCACGGTCGCCGCAAAAGATATTTTTTTTAACAATGATGCAACAGGAGCGGATGCACATTCACATCCAAGCGGAAAATATTCACAAAAATTATAAGTAAACAATAAAAATAAAGTAGTTTGGATTAGCCAAATATATTCTTATGAGAAAAGTAATACTTAAAGAGTAATCTACTCACTTTGTTTATTACTGTTAGAGCACAAGATGAAATAAAGTTTTTGGTGATCGTATTAGTGGCGGCTTTTTTACCATCGCCACCAAATGTTGTTCTATGTGTCGCCATTGTAATAGCGACCAATATTTCAGCGACAACCTTCCGTGATGAGACATTTCAGTATTAGTTGGCTAACTTGAAACACCTAATCTTGAGACACTATGTTACAACGAAGACCTCTTGGTGTTCGATTCCTTTCCGCATTTCTTCTTTGAGCTTATATAAAGTTTGGTTACTTTACCGCAGCTTATTTAATGTTTGGTTACTTTACCACAATTATGTTTTTTTGTTACTTAAATTATAAACAATTATTACGTTAGATTATGATCTCACTTACACAATTTAACATTTTGAACTTGCATTTTGCAGACAAGAGAGGTTGCTCTGATAGTAAGCAACTTCCACTTTCAACCAAGAGGTTGTGAGTTCGAGTGGGAAGTTCTTGGAGGGAAGAATGCTGAGGGTCTATTGGAAACGGCCTCTCTACCCCACGGTAGGGGTAAGGTCTGCGTACACACTATCTTCCCCAGACCTCACTAAGTAGAATTATACTTGGTTGTTGTTGTATTTTTGTCACTTCAAATTTTGTGTAATGCCTCACACAAATGTTTTAATATATTTATATCCTTTTCGGAATTTATCCTTGCATTCCAGATCGCCACTAAAAGAGGTGTTGTATGTCACCAGTTGAGGTAACTGTTTTAGTTTTCATTTACCATTTTTCGTTAATCTATCAATTCAGAGCTGCTCTGAGGTATTTCTACAATGTAGATGTTTTATGGTCTATCCATTTTATAATTGAGAAGATTTTTTTTTTTATTTTTTTTATTTTATAAATCTGTGTATTTATTACCTCCTTTATCCTTAATGCTCTTAACTTTAATTCTTGATTTTTGGAAATTGCACGTTTCGAGTCCAAAATTCTACCATTAACATCCACTAGTCGAGCATCCAATACATGATCTACTCTTGGACCAAATATACTCAGCATATTCCCATAACAACCACCACTAAAATGCCCACCAGCACCAACAGTAGGACAAAAATTTGCAATTAAAAAAAAAAGAGCTAGTATTGAATAACAAGATTCAGCCCTTTTGCTTTCATATTCAAGAATTAATAATTGCAGAGAACTCAAAATTTGACCGAAAAACATCTCATTATACTAGTGAAAGAAAGACATAAAGTTGGCTCATTTGTGAGTAGATAATGGAGCAATAAGAAAAAAGGGAAGTTACCTTTAAGCTGCAGATGGTTGAATTTTAGCCAAATGAGGTTTATCTACTATGCTACAGTTAGATAAAGTTAATATCCCCAGAGTAGATAGTTCTACAGTATGTAGGTTTTAATTTAATATAGCGACCATGTTTCAGTCCCAAGGTTGTTCGAGCCAACTGTATGAATCCTGACTGTTCCATTTCAATATTTGTTCTTGCAGTTAATATGGCATAATATGATGAACAATTAATTATGTTGTTTTTTTCATTAGAACAACTTCACCGTGTCAAAATACATACACTATCATTGAATAAGTCTTAGCGCTCTAAACATTCATCCCATTAAAGCTTTATCACAGTAATTGACAACTCAAAATTTGACTGAAAATGACTAGGTGAGCTTCCTGGAATTGATTACTGCAAAGCATCAACAGTAAATTTTCTTTGCTTTGTGCTATATATACCTCAGAACTATTCAATAAAGGAACAAAGCAAAGATTTCTTGATTGTTTTGATCTTTATAGTGCCGAAATGGGTTATGAAAAAATTGTATTGTTTCTGCTCTATGCCTTTCTCTGTAGACTTGCTTTCTCCTCATCCATACCACATTTGTGCCCCAAAGATCAAGCTCTTGCTCTTCTACAATTCAAAAAGATGTTTACCATAGATCCTGACGCTTCATTTTACTGCCACACATCTTATCCTAAAATTCTTTCATGGAATAGGAGCAAAGATTGCTGCTCATGGAAAGGAGTTAACTGCGACGAGACAACACGCCATGTGGTTGAGCTTGACCTCGGTTGCAGTCAACTTCAAGGCAAGCTTCATTCCAACAGTAGCCTCTTCAAACTCTCTAATCTCAAAAGGCTTAATTTATCTGGTAATGATTTCTATGGATCGCACATTTCGCCTAAATTTGGTGAGTTTTCTAGTTTGACACATCTTGATTTATCAAGTTCAGAGTTTTCAGGTCAAATTCCTTTAGAAATCTCTCATCTTTCTAAATTATACGTTCTTCGTATCAATGATGATGTGAGACTTGGACCTCACAATTTTGAACTGCTCTTTAAGAACTTGACCCAATTAAGAGAGCTTGATCTTGACTATGTCAACATCTCTTCCACCATTCCTCTAAATTTCTCTTCTTATTTAACAATTCTACGACTTGCAGACACGCAATTATATGGGACATTGCCTGAAAGAGTCTTTCACCTTTCCAACTTGAAATATCTTGACTTATGGCACAATACCCAGCTCGAAGTTAGGTTTCCAATGATCAAATGGAATAGCAGTACATCTCTCACGGATTTATATCTCAATAGTGTGAATTTTACTGGTAATATACCTGAATCATTTAGCTATTTAACTTCATTGAATAAACTGGACATGAGCTCTTGTAATCTCTCGGGACCTATTCTAAAACCTCTATGGAATCTAACTCGCATAGAGCTTTTGCACCTTGAAAATAACCGACTTGAAGGACCAATTTCCCAGCTCTTCAGATTCGGTAATCTCAAGACCTTATGGCTTGGAAATAACAACTTTGATGGCCGACTTGAGTGCTTTAATGGGACACAACTTAGGGACTTAGTTGTTTCGTCCAATTCCCTAATTGGTCCAATTTCTTCCAGTGTATTATCCCTCTCATCACTAGAATGGTTAGACTTGAGCAATAACCATTTCAGTGGCAAAATTGGAGAGTTAAAGTCCAAAACATTGTGGAACGTTGATCTAACACAAAATCAGCTGCAAGGTCCTATTCCAAAGTCACTCCTAAACCAACAGAACCTCCAATATCTTCTCCTTTCTCAAAATAATCTCAGTGGACAGATTGATTCAACCATCTGCAATTTGAAAACATTACTGTTATTAGATCTGAGAAGTAATAATTTACAGGGAACAATCCCCGAATGTTTGGGTGAGATGGATAGTATTCTGGTTTTGGACTTAAACAATAATAATCTTAGTGGGACAATTCAAGCAAATTTTAGTATTGGAAACCGATTCAGAGTCATTAAATTGCATGGGAATAAGTTAGAGGGGAAAATCCCAGGATCTTTGATCAATTGCAAGTATTTGGAACTACTTGATTTAGGTAACAATGAGTTGAACGACACTTTTCCAAAATGGTTGGGAGTCCTACCAAATTTGAAGATTTTATATTTGAGATCAAATAAGTTGCATGGGTCCATCAGAGTGTCAAGAAATAGAAACTTGTTTTCACAACTTCAAGTTCTGGATCTTTCATCCAATGCATTTAATGGGAATTTACCAACAGGTCTTTTTGAGAATTTCCAAGCCATGAAAATAAATGATGAGAACATGAGAAACCTAACATTTGTAGAAGAAACATCTAATTTGATATTTACAACAAAAGGATTGGAACTTCAATTTCCTCATGTTTTGAGTACTAATAATATGGTTATTGATCTCTCAAGGAATAGATTTGAAGGTTGTATTCCAAGTACTGTTGGAGGTCTCATTGGACTTCGTACGTTGAACTTGTCTCACAATGGCTTAGAAGGTCTTATACCAGCATCATTACAACATTTGTATGTACTTGAATCGTTGGATCTCTCATTTAACAAAATTGGTGGAGGAATTCCGCAACAACTTGTATCTCTAACATCACTTGCAGTCTTAAATCTCTCTTACAATCATCTCGTTGGATGCATCCCTAAAGGAAATCAATTTGATACTTTCGAGAACAGTTCATACCAAGGGAATGAAGGATTACGTGGATTTTCACCCTCAAGAGGCTGTGGTGATGACGGAGTAACACAAGCAACAACCCCAAATGTGCTAGATCAAGGAGAAGATGAAGATTCATCAATGATCAGTTGGCTGGCGGTTCTCATAGGTTACGGTTGTGGATTAATTATTGGACTATCCATAATATACATAATCTCAACTCAAAATCCATTATGGTTTTCCAGGATAATTTTAGAACTGGAACAAAGAATCGTTACGAGAATGAAAAAACACAAGAAAAGATATTAGTGTGTCCAGGTATTCAACTTGATCTCTATGCAAATTCTTTTGATTATCGATATTTTATGATCTAAATAACCATTTTAACTCTAATTCTTAATTCATTTTTGAACATTGCAGGTTTCAAGTCTAATAAGTTGCTGGAGACGCAAATATAAGCATTTGTCTTTCATAGTCTATTATGATGTTTCTTGAAGTGTTTGTTACCATATGAATAAAGACATGAGTTTTCTTCCTTTGAGACTCAAACCATATAAGATTGTCTATGATATGCTAGATCACTATGATTAATTGACTTAAATATCCTTTTGGTATTAAGTCACAAAATTTGTAGAAATCTCTAAGTATTACTTCCGGACTAAAGTTTATATGTTATAACAATAAAGTCGCAAAATTATTTTTTGTCATATTAAAATAACTATATGCGATTTCTTCATAAGAATTCATGTTTTCATGTGAAGTCCACTGAATGATATAAATCCATAAATGGTGTAAATCAACCTTTTTTTCACTTTTGAAAAAAGAATATCATTTAGTAAATTGATGTCTTTCGAGACGATTCAATAATTTAGGGCAATTAAATACAAGAAGATCTAAATTTTAAACAAATGTATTGGATAATTATAACATGCATGGATCTAAGACCATTATTACAACTAAATAGTATATTCGTTTAATCAGGGTTTAATGCTGTTGTTTAAAATAAATGTGACAGCTCTACTTAACAAGGCTAATCAAATATTATATAATTAGGCAATCTTTTTGTTCAATCAAAGTGTTCACGTTATGATTTGGTATTTTGGTTGTTGTGTCTGCAGAACTAAGTGCCAAATGTAAGAATTTAAACAAAAAGAGAAAACTAAACAAGAAAATTGGATGAAATTTTAACAAAATTAATATAGTAAGAGTAAAGAAAATCAGCTGTTTATGAGACCCAAAATAGCAGAAATTTCACTTAAAAAATGGAAATAGCTACGAACTTCGTCGCTACCAGAATTTTTTCGTAATCCGTCGCTAAATAGGATTAACGATAGATTTTCTATTTAGCAACATAATTTGTTTGTCGCTAACTCCTATTTTTATTTATATATGATCATGTTTCGCTTCCAAAGTTAGTGTCTTTGCCCATATATGAAATGCATGCGACTCTTCAGTGGTGGGTGGGGTTCTACCAAAAATTAAGCAATGATGCAATCAATAGGAGCGCCCCTATCCACGCTTCGGTTGTATCGGTATTAATAAACACAACTACTTAATCAATTGCATCCCTTAAATTAATGCAACAATTATTTAAACTACTAATGTTTTGTATCAATAAGTGGTTACAAAGAAAACTTCCATGCCTAAATTGCAAGTTTTAAATATGTAGATAGCATGATGAGTGCAACCTTTTGGAAATAAAATAACATTTATTGGTAATATTCCCTAATTATTGACAAGTTCATGGACTTACTCAACAAACATTAAGTTCTATACTTAGGAGATTTTACAGAAAAAAGATCTACTTTGTTTTTTTTTTCCAGTTTTTGTCTGTACTTTTAACAAGCCCACGTTTTAAATCTCCTAGACAATAACAATTGGCTTTGCAATTAATGCAATTCCTCATCCAACATCTGCCCATTATGTTGTCTTACATATGTTAGATTAGGTTCCACTTCTTTTCATGTCAACTTTTAACCAATAAATATTCTTTCTGAGCTCAAAAATTACATAGTCAACTGATATTTTTAAATAAGGATAGAGTTGAACAGCTTTCGCGCACCTAAATTATTTCATCTTATTTACCTGCACAACTATCGAATAACTCGCCGCCTAGTATTTTTTTCCTGGAATTTGAACCCTGATCTCCAAAATTCTCGCTCATTTTATTGACCATTAGATCACAACATAGTTCACAACTTTGAGAACTAAAATTAATAAAATTTTCAGCTTTGTGCATCTTGATCTAGGTCAACATGTGCTTAGATGTTTCTTAAATGGTTGGGATTTCATTAGTTACTTCCAAGGAAGTTGGAAGCACATCATAATGATTGAACATTAAAGAAATTAACTAGTAGTTCTAACAAGTAGTTATGCTATGACCTGTGAGTACTAGTCTTATCAAAACTGCATATATTATTTGCTTTGACAAGAGATTGTCAGAAAAAATATAATGTCTTTTTAAAATAAGGTTTGAGCTAGCCCATAGTATTAAGCATTTTTAAAGAGTCGATTCGGATTTTTCACCCCGGGAGTTGTGATGGCACCTACTCGCGGATGTTAGGCAAGCCGAATATTATAAAATCATTACCCTTTTATTAAACATGTTCAACAATTTAAAATAATGAGTGATTAAACAACGGAATAAATTAGATAACCGGAAATGTGGAAGACGAAAACGTAATAATTCAACCAAACACTGCTACATAATTTGAAGTACAATACTACCCAGAATTTGGAGTCACAAGTCACGGACTATCTAAGAATACTACAAATAAGGTTTGAATGAAATTACACAAATCTGTCTCTGAATAAGTAAAAACAGAAAGAGAAGCGATAGGAGGAGGCGCCAAGGCCCGCGGACGTCTGCAGGACTACCTCGGGTCACCTGAGTTGACTGAAGATAGCACCCTCACTGCGGTCCAAACGATCCGGTATCAGTATCTGCACACAGTGTAGAGTGTAGTATCAGCACAACCGACCCCATGTGCTGGTAAGTGCCTAGCCTAACCTCAGCGAAGTAGTGACGAGGCTAGGACCATACTACCAAATGAACTTGTGCAGTTAAATCATATACAACAGAGATAAAAGCAGATAATTACAGCTAAAGTTGGGCGGGGAAACAGCTGCGGGGAGCAACAAATAACAGCAGAATAACAGTAGAGCAAAGTAAGGAATGCAATAAATCAATTACCAGTAAAAGATAAGGAAATAAAAAAAACAAGTACACATGTAATACCGTTGCAGGCGTGCAACCCGCTCCCACTTCATATAGTACCGTTGCAGGCGTGCAACCCGCTCCCGTTTCATATAGTACCGTCGTAGGCGTGCAACCCGCTCCCATTTCATATAGTATCGTTTCAGGCGTGCGATCCGCTCCCATTTTATTTATCAATACCAATCATAAAAGAGTCCCGACAAGGGAATAATAGTATAACAACAACATCCCGGCAAGGGAACAATAATGTAACAACAACATCCCGGCAAAGGGAACAATAATATAACAACAACATCCCGGCAAAGGGAACAATAATATAACAACAACATCATGGAAAGGGAACAATAATATTGCAACAACATCCTGGCAAGGAAACAATAATATCACAACAACATCACGACAAGGGAACAATAATATTTCAACAATATCCCGTCAAGGAAATAATAATATTACAACAACATCCCGGCAAGGGAAAAATAATATAATTCTCATATGAAGCACGAATAAACCACAACGGAGTCATAAAAATTACAATACAAGACTCACGGACATGCTTGACACCGGCGTATAGATACTCGTCACCATGCCTATACGTCGTACTCCACAGTTAATACGTAGCAAATAAGACACAACTCCTAATCCCTCAAGCTAAGGTTAAACCAAACACTTACCTCGATGCCACGAATATAATTCAAGCCTCAACTATTACTTTACCTCTTGATTCCACCACCAATTCGCTCGTATCTAGCCACAAGTTACTTAACTATATCAATAAATGCTAAATGAATCAATTTCAATGCATGAAAATAGGTTTTCTAAAGTTTTTCCCAAAAAGTCAAAAATCGCCCCAGGGCCTACATGGTCAAAATCCGAGGTTCGAACCAAAACTCGATTACCCATTCCCCCACGAACCCAAATATACAATTTATTTTGAAATCGGACTTCAAATCGAGGTCCAAATCCCCAAAATTTGAAAAATCTAGGTTCTACCCAAAACACCTAATTTCCCCCATGAAAACCTTTGATTTTGAGTTGAAATCATGAGAAAAGATGTTAAAGATTAATAAAAATAAGTTAGAAATGACTTACAATCGATTTGGAAGAGTACTTCTCTTTGAAAAATCGCCCAAGAGTGTTTTTGTTTTGAAAGGGTTTGAAAAATGAAAGATTTTCGGCTAAGTTAAGAATTTGCAGGTCGCAGATGTCGTAGTTACGACCAGGGTTTGCAATTGAGAACCCTTCAGGACCTGCTACACTCGCATTTGCGACCACTGTTCGCAATTGTGAACTCGCATTTGTAACGGGGGAGTCGCATTTGTGACCAAGGGGTATTTCTGGGCCTCTTCGCATTTGCGAGAAAATGATCGCATTTGCAACCAGCCCTGCCCAGGCATTCTCTTGCATTTGCAATGGGTTATTCGCATTTGCGATATCGCATTTGCGAGTTAGGCTTCGCAAATGTAAAGCCTGCAGACCTGCAACATACCAGCTAAAAACCTGCAACTTCTTAAGTCCAAATTTCACTCCGAGGCCTATCCAAAATTCACCCGAGCCCTCGGGGCTCTAAACCAAACATGTACACTAACCCAAAAACATCATACGGACTTTCTCATGCAATAAAATCATGAAAATAACATGTAAAACTATGAATTAAACCTCAAAACTCATCATTTTCATCAAGAACACTGAAAGTTCATAACTGTTCAACCGGAGGTCCAAATCACGTCAAATAAACTACATTTTTCACCAAACTTCACTATTATCATTTAAATACATTAACAAGTTTGTACCGGGCTCCGGAACCAAAATACGGGCCTGATACCAATGGTTTCAAACATTAATTCTTTTCTTTATTTCATAAATAAATTCAGCAAAACAATTTCTTTCAAAAATTGATTTCTAAGGCTTGCGAGCTCAGAATTCATTTCCGGACATACGCCCAAGTATCATATTTTACTGCGAACCTCCCAAGATTGTCAGAACACAGATCTGGGTCCGTTTGCTCAAAATGTTTACCAAAGTCAACCATAATCAAATTTTAACTCTAGAAATTTCTATTTCTCATATTTTTACATAAAAGCTTTCCGGATATACGTTTGGACCACGCACACAAATCGAGTTGAGATAAAAAGGAGGTTTTAAGGCGTCAGAATACTGAATTTGTTTCCCAGCTCGATGCCTCAGCAGGCTGACCTCTCCACTGAACACAAACAGAAGGAAAACTCTTGGATCTTAACTGACGAACCTGCCGGTCTAGAATAGCTACCGGCTCCTCCTCATAAGACAAGTCCTTGCCCAACTAGACAGTGCTGAAATCTAATACGTGGGATAGATCGACGTGATACTTCCAAAGCATGGA